CCGTGGTCGATGTATAATACTGTCCAGTGGAAAGTATTCTTTGAGCCGATAAATCAGATGCCCAGGTAACTAGGAATTGCCGATACAAAATATTTATATATACATGTGTGTGTGTGATCCACCCTTTGATTGACCTTCGTTTACACATTTGCATTCAATGACTGCTGGAGTTTGACATGAATATGCATCATATGCACACGTTAACTCGCCTCTTTGTTCTGTCCATCACATTCAGAGCTCAACTAAAAGCATCAAAGCGTAAAGGGTTGGCCGTTTTACGGGCTCCTACTGACCCTGTTGGACGTTCCAAATTAAACGCTCCACGCCTTACCATGCCCATATTCACCGTTCTTTTCGGATCGGAAAACGATAGGTCACCTGATCGCACTCCTCATACTCGGACGGACGAAGAAGAATCCGTTGCGGCTGCTCCACTAGTTACGGATACACCTGGGGACATGCTTCAGCAACTCAATCTGCCCAGTTTACCGCCGGGTCGACTTCCTCAAGATGCTGAATTTTATTGTCCCTTGCATGTGAGTGTTGTATGCTGGTCTATACGCCGTCCTCTCTCTTTCAAGAGCGTACAATCCTCCATTAACTGTCTCTGTTTTCTTTCCACACACGCCCGAGTTCAGACTGTGTGCCGAACAAATCACGGTGCAATAATCTTTATTAACGGAAAAAAGTTTATAATTTTTTTGAGGACATGATACTGCTGGGTTGCCCAGGCCAGGGCAGGTGAATTTTCTTGGGGAATTCACAACCGGAGCCTTCGGTCAACCAAATCCTGACCCGCATGGCAGCTGGACAGTGTGGGAAAACCGCAATCCCTTGGGAGTCGGTGTCCAGTTCATCGGATAATACGACCATTGGACGGGGTCAAACGTCCAAGGTGCCCAATACACTTCGATACCCAATCGAGCTGGTGACCAACCGGGGAGGTGTGAATGGGTGTGGTCCGTAGGCCTCCTCTTGGTTGGTTTGGAATCAGGGTTTTAGCCAACTCCCCTGGTTGAACTGTCACATGTTCGCCAACCCGGTTAAAGCCCTGGATATTGGTTTTTCTTCCTTCCACTTTGTTGGGAAAACACCTCTGCCTCGAGAAAACAGTGAGAAGGGCTTCCTTAGCAGAAGCTATTTGAAACGCTTAGTTGTAAGGGGGGTATTTCTGGAGATGCAAGGGAGGGCTGGTCAGTCGCAATCTGAGACCCACTCCAAACCATGCTGAGGCTTTTGGAGGCTGTTTTCCTTCACAACAATGCAGTTCGAAACACTTGATTGATACGTAGATAAAAGTCAGCGGCAAAATTTCTAACTGATAAATGTTTTTATGAGCAAATCAGTTACCAATTTTCTTAATAACACTAGGAATTTCCACTCCTGGACACAGACTATTTTTATGGATTTTTTGCGTCATTCCTTAAACTAGTTGATATACGAACATGGCAACCATTTCATTTAGAATTCTAATCAAAGCACTTCCCAATCTATCTAGACCAAGTATAACTATCTTCTTTATTCTGGTTACTTAAAGACCCCTCTATCCGTTCATACAGTTCATGCAGCATTTGTCTGGAATGCGGTAATTAATCTTGCTCAATGAGGAGTGACGTAGTTGTTTTGTATAATATAGTTCTCCATTGCTTTTGTGGTCTGCCACGTATATTCTCTCAGTGTTCCGCAACGTGCTTCAGCATCCGCAGTTCGTGGTCTCCATATTACAGGATATATTTGTGTAAAGGTCTTCACTCACTTTCGACAGTGTCTGTCTGTGTGTGCATTGCATCACTAACTTCCATTATGTAATTCTGCCCACTTGAAGTTGTCTGTTTTGATAAACGGTGATCCATCTTCCATCCATCGAAATAAGTATCGATGTCATTGCGAGCTGTTTTCGAAACCGGATCGATGTGTAAACGCTGGAAATTTTTACTGTGACATGATGTGGACGAGGGGGATATTTTTATAGGCTCTGATTGTTTTTCAGAAAATGAGAAATGCCCATTGCCCCCGGAATATGTTTTTTTAATAATTTTGTTCATTCACCTATCACGCTTTTTCCAAACACTGCATGGCATATATTTCTCGCGTCAGATGAAGTGTGTAGTCGTTGCGCTTTTTTCACCACAACCAGGTCGGTAATGTCCTGTAATTATGATCGCATTCCCACTGTCGGGTTGAGAACTGACACGTGAGGTGTTGATGAATTCCTTTACAGATAACCCCAAACAGAATTCTCTTTTAGATATGGTGATAAAAGGAATTGATGGCCTGTGGGATTGCCCTTCGCCGCTTATGCGTCCCTAACGCCATTTCGTCCGTGCACCGTCTTATCTCTATCCCGCTTCAGGTCTCGGCCTCACCCACTCACCCACATTTCCTTTCTCTCAACATCTACCCCCCCCCTCTACCTCATTCACCAATGATTGACACCATAAGGCACAAGACAGGTGTGTCTGTGTGTGTGTGTGTGTGTGTGTGTGTGTGTGTGTGTGATATGAAATAGAGGAAGATAGGTTACAAAGTTGGGTCACTGGTAAGCAGGATAAAGTGAACCAAAAGCCCTGTTCGGTTTTGAAGAATATTGTAAATATCAAGTAACCGTAGGAAAAAAACCCTTCCGAGTTAGAAAACCTACAGTCTGGTAAAGTTTGTTGTTGAGATTGTACCAAGCCTTCCCCCGTACCGATGTTTGCTTTAAATGGAGGGGGGAGACAGTAGAACAGGTTGAGCTGACTAAACCGGATTGTTCGAATCAACTGAGACGTATGATTCACACCAGGTCATACCGGTTACCAGAGGAGTTCTCTTTTCCGGAGGAAGTGACACATTCAACCCGGTCCGAATGCTGACGATTTCAATCGGAAATCATGGATTATGGCATATGGCAATTTTCTCGGGCACTGATCCGCACCTGTGATTTTGACCCATATATTCTGTTCTGTATTGTCGTAATAGTTTGCCCCCACCCCTTGTCTTTTTCACGTGCGCCCACTCTCGCAGTCTGATGCATTCGTTTCGGCTCCCTACCAGCAAAACTGAATAAAGGGAACAGTAGCTTATTTTTCTGTTCTCCCCAGTCTCTGAAACTCGAATTCTCCATTATATATTTATTTTTTGCATACGTCTGGGTTCAGACTATGTATCAAACAAATCGCGGTATAATAATCTTTGTGAAAAGAAAAAAAGTTTTATGATTTGGTTGTTGGCTGATACTTGATAGATAGGTACTTGTGTCCAGTTCAACGGATCATATTCCCTTCAGACGGGGTCAAATATTCAAAGTGCCCAGTCGATCCCATGAAGACTTCCACAACCAGGTAGGTGTGTCTGGTTGGTACTCCCCCTCTTGATTGGTTTGGAACCAGAGATTTTAGCTAACTCCCCTAACTGAATTGCCAGAAGTTCACCAGCCGGGTTGGAGCCGCGGATATTAGTTTTTCGTCCTCTCACTTTGGTGGCAAAACATCTCTGCCACGTTAAGGCAGTGAGTAGGAGGGCTTCCTTACTAGAGGCTATTTGAAATGCTTGATTATATAGAAGCATTTTATGAAGTGCAAGGGAAGATGGCCATTAACAACCCGAAACACCCTTCCCCGACTATACTGAAGCTGTCGGAGGTGGGTTCTTGACTGAGGTATTTCGACCACGAGTTTCAGGGTTTCTTTCTTTGCTGCAACGTCTCTATGATTCATTCTTTTCACCGTGTCATCCGACGTTCCCATATGTCTTTTCTCCATCTCAATTTCAATCTACAGGTTGTTCGTGAATAAAGCATGAAACTTACTCGAACTAAGTCAGTTCGATTTCAGCATTAAAATATTAATGATATTATTATTATTATTATTATTATATAACAACAGTTTGAAAGCAAATGAAATACATCTAGCATGTGAGGAATGACCGAACTCTGAAACACACACCACGCCACAAAATCACTGCGCAATTGCATAGTGACCGGTACCTGATCAATTTCCAAGCAGATCCGCTTCAGCCAAATGGTTGAGCCACAATAGTCGAGTCTTGTTCATCCCTGCCACATTTTCCCGCAGTTTTTCTGCTCGAATACCACCATTGCCGCCTAACCTCACCCCCTTTCTTTTTGTCACATACCAATCCTCTGGTTGGTTGTTTCTCGCCAATTGCTCGTACTCGCGCATTCAATAAAATGGAGCTGAATGAATAAGATAAGAAATTACGGTTAGTGATGTTCTCGTCACTGCCCATTTTCACAGCTTTCATCTCATTACAGATTTTGAAAAATCCTGTTTCACTGTATTTGGTTAGTATCAAACAACATGCTCACATGCTAGTTTGTTTTCTCGTTTCTGTCACTGATCAGTCTTCAATGACGCTTTGATAAGTTGCAGTCAGTTCTCCCATTTGTCCTTCTCACTGTCCATTTGATCTCAACTTTTCCTCCTTCAGTGGATCTATGGCGGGGCGGATGAAATGTGCTGGGAAATGCATCGAGCTGCCCAACGTGTTCCGCACTTACTGATGAGCGATGCTCTCGATTCTGGGACCGGCACAGAAGCGGATCAGGATTTGTGGCGTAAAGAAGAGTCACTTTTGATCGAAGAGTTGAATCTGATCGGTCAGCAGACAGACGAATTTCCCAAACTTCCAGACGATGGAGGGGTAGATTTCACTTCTGGTAAGTCGGTGTACGAGTAGCCTTTTCGCTATGAGATGTCCATTAAAGCTACTGTACTCAAATGATAGGTTAATGGTCTTTGACTTTCCTAATGCATATTGTTATTACCCCAGCTTTCTCAGGCTTGTAGTTAATCATTGTATATGAACAGTACATGAATGATCAAGCCGATTTTCTTCTAAGCACACGACCGGTCTTGTAGTTTCTATTAATCACCTTACATACTCATCTCCTGTTCATTCGTAAACCTGTTTTTTTATTCCACTTTCACCACTGTATCTTCATTCCCTTATCAAGAGACGTAACGAATTAACCACTTGTCTATTCCGGTTAGTAATGCGACAAGCACATTAATGTAGCAACTGCTCAATGATATCTTTCAGCCATCACGCAAAGATTCTATGAGAAATAAAATGTGTTCAACATACGGAGAATGAATGAACGCCCGCAGAACTAAACTCACATCCAAACCCATGACATTTTACAAATTCTCTGGTACATGTTAAGTCAAACAATAACATTTTAGGCAAAGATAATAATCGTCTTTTGACATTCATTTTATTTTGTTGATTACACATTCGAAAAGTCAGTTTTCAGTAGTGCAGCCGCCGCCAATCAAATGCTGTCTGGGCAAATACAGAAACGGGAGGTGGAGAAGCTTAACCTGGGTGTCTCATCACTGTCTCCAAACACACAATGCGGTGCAAAGAAAAGAGAACAGGCTGTAGATAATGTTTGTTTCCATGCTGTTGGAATTGTGCACTGCTGTGCTACTTAATCGTCCGAACTGTGCAATGAATCTCAGCCCAAGTCTAATCCACAATGTAGTGTGATGATGCCTTGATTATACAATCCACTGGGGGTCTTTATTTGTTATCGGAATATACGCCCTTCGGTTGGGTGTAGGTGTCACGAGTAGTGTCTGGTCACCCTTCTATCCCAAACAGGTTATGTTGAGGAAGTCCTACTCATTGCCCTCCCTTGACGGATATGTCTTCCCACCGAATTGAGAGGATGAAAAACCAGCACCCAGGACTCACCTGGGTTGGTAAACGACTAATTGTTCATCTTGGATAGTTGACTGGAAACCCTGATTCCAAACCAATCAAAAACAGGTGTTCGCACTACACACCTTCCTAGCAGTGGTCATCGGCTGGATTTGGTATCGAAGTGTTTTGGACACCTAGGACGTTCCATTCCCGTCCAGAGTTCGTATGATCTGATGAACTGGACACCGTCCACCAATTGATCACGGTTTCCACACACCGCCCCGCTGCCTCGCTGCTCGGGCTTTAGTTGTGAATTCCCCAATAAAATTCACTTACCTTGGCCCGGAAACCTTGGAACTAGTTGTATTTTCACATAATGTCAACTCAGACACTGGATATGTAGATATCTATAATCGGTTTCGTAAATTTACGAGGAGGCATCACTATTCAGGAATATATTGCCCAATGCAAGAAACAAACCAGGTTTCGCGAATCAGATGATCCAACCGGGAAAAATCAACTGAGCGATTAGCAATGGAATACGTTTCTCAAAACATAAATAGTTGATGGGATGCTAGGACCTTATCTACTCTTTATATCCCTTCAGGCATTTGCATATATAGTTTGATCATTCATTCCATTGGTAAGTGGCCTAAGCTGGCTGTGCTTGTGTGGCCATTAGAAATGGGTAGTGAAAAGTAGAGTGGAAAATGTGTGTGCGTGTGTGTGATCTATTGGCCAATCATGCCGTATGAGTAAATACCTGAAGTGATATACTGATAACAATCTTTTTTCCTCGTTTTGTTCTTATACATCGATGGGAATAATTTGCGATAAGATGTTATCGTCTCAGACGCATTTATGCCGCTATTTATTTGTGCGATTTTATCCCCCCCCCCCACGAAATTTTCTAACTTCTGTTCCCACCACTTCTCGTCCTCTATCCAATCTCTCGTGGATCATTAGCGCGTGCCTCGTTGATCAAATCGCTGGAATCTATCGCTTTGTCCACTCGTGGCTAACCGGGTTCCGGGGATTCCGGATATGATAATCCCAGTTGTGTTTCTTCTTTGTTATTTGTAAACCCCCGATCCATAGAAATCTTTTTGAATTCAAGTATACACATATTTTTGTATTGCACAGATATTCAAACATTTGAGATTTGTTGAATCCTTTTATTTTTCTGGAGGCTGTGGATGCCATAAATTTAGCTGTTTACAAGTATCGAGCATATATTTTCGGTTCATCACCGTATTTTCGTCTGTCTATTGTATTTATGGTGCCTGAGTGAAAATCTGTTTTTTGGGCGTCGCATCGTTATTCATCAACCTCCCATTAGCAAAGATATATATATATATTACCTCCAATATTAAGGAATATATGGAACAAAACAGTGAAATTTCCTGGATGTCTTTGCTATTATAAATCACTGTAGCAACGAGGCACACATAGATAGGAGGCACCACTTTATGGCTCGTACAGGTAGCAACCCCAAATACGGTTTACCTAAGTTACATTGCTTTGAAATGGATAATTAGTAGTCGTAAGCACCCGAAAACTGTTTACTTATCCTCAGGTCGTCCCAATACATCCTAACTGTAAAAATAACCTAAAAGGACCATTTGATACGCCTAGCCCATTTTTGGCAACAATAAATGCGAAATGGTATAAGGTATTTGTGAAGCATTTTAATGCGATGGGAATGTTTGTGATAACCAACGAATAAGGAGCACTGGACAGCTGTTTCATCCTGTTTGGAACTCGTCAGCAGTGCGTACTTTTTGTGTCCCTGTCAGTACTCGAATCGCGATTCTTCAGGCTGGGACTTCAAACCCTTACCTTTGCACTGCACAGTCGATGGTTATCACCTTGTGCGAATGGATCAATTTATTTAGGTGTTTGGATTAGCCCATTCGGTTTTTCACAGGCACTATTGATGATGTTCGATGTGGGTTTCATTTCTTGGGAGATCTTTAGTTCCCCACTGTTTGTATGCATGTTAGTGCGAAACAGCTGTCCAGTACTCTTTGTTCATTATCACAAAAATTTCCATTGCAATAAAATGCATACAAACAGTGGGTAATTAACGATCTCCCAAGGAGTGAAACCCACATCGAACATCAACAGTGTCTGGTGCCTGTGAAAAACCGAATGGGCTAATCCAAACATTCACCATCAATTCGTTTTCATTCATCTCTTCGTGAAGATTTATCAAGACGAATTTAGTTTCAACTAAGCACGTGTCAGATTCGATCAATTTAGGGACACATGGAATACTGTGAGTGAATGAAAGTATATGACGGAACTCAGAACGGACCATGTTGTGGTCCGTCAACAGACAAGGGAAAAACCCTGGTTGCATGACGGACATCGAGACTCGCTCATCTCAACACTAGTCTCCGGGGTTATGACTCGGTTGGAAGCTTTCAAAACCTGACTACTTGTTACATGTGGGTAATGGAGAATTTGATTCAATTTCAAAAGAGGAATTCTTCATGTATGGAGCAAATGAAGCGTGAACTGAAAAGCTGTGAGTGGGTTCATTGTGGCCTACTCCTTCCACTCATGCAATGGCATTAAGAGCATGAGACCAGAGATAGGCAAATGCAAGACACAAGTATGGCAGATGTCCATGCTCACTGAGCTCAATTAAATGCTGCTCTTCGATTGCTGTGTCGCTCGGCTTAGTGCGATGATGCTTGGTCGCTCAGATTGGGATAGACCGTCAACGTGGTTGTGGGAACGTGCATGCATAGGCGCACTTTTTATTTGGCTACTTGAAATTAGTCAGTAGGTAAAGTGATAATGTGAAAAAAAAGAAAATTGTGATCTGGCCCCACTCATTTCAGGAATTGCTTCGCAATTAATTCCAATTGTGGGAAATGGCTGGAACATATTACTGGACACTACTCATTTGTTTTACGTAAACTAACTTAAGATGAACCATCTCAAACCTTCAAGCACCAATCTTCAAGGCAAAGGCGAACCCTTTGAGTTCGGCCATACATTGTTACCAGTGCATCTTCGGTATACCTTTTACCTTTTTATTTGCAAACAACTAAGTCAGTTGTCATTTTGACGAAGGCTAGAACGCAACGTATAAACGAATGCTTCTTCTATAAGCGTCGTAATAAATGGTAGGGACTGCCTCCCATTAATTTTGTTCCAGATATGACATACCAGATGAATCACACTCTGCTGCGGTTCAGTTGCACTGTGAGCAGAGGAAACTGGGTCAAACGACAAAGCGGGATCACAACTCATACGCCCTCCTGAATTACTTGTCTGTGATGGAATGACTTCCACTTTGTATCGACTTCTCGCTATTCGTGAAAAAAAGTCACAGTTATTAGTCATTGCAAGATAGACTTAACGGACGATGACAGAACACACCCGATCTGGATGAACTCGTCAGGTCTAAGTGTTCAAGAAACGTGAAGAATTTAACCGTTCATTCCGCCAAAGCGAAAGCAGATCGCTTCAACTGTGAAAAAAATCCGATCGGTTCAGACTGGGATCAGGACGGATACAGTGACCGCGACGGCTTAGTGATACACCTGGAAGAACGTTGTCAACAAGTTCCTTGAAAAAACCCTGACAACCGAAGGATGATGTTTGTCACGCTACTGAAGAAGTGTGCGCATCTCTCCATTCATCATTATTTGTTGAAACGCTTGACCTCAAAAAACTTGTCAGTCACCCGCTCACGAAGTACCTTTGTTTGTTTATACAGTTCATTCGTAAGGGCTTTAGGTATTCATCGAATGAAAGGGAATGACCGAGCCAAATTGGTCTCCGATTGTCGTTGCCCACTGAGGTTTATTGCAATCGTGGTGCGAATGCACGTGCCACTGGAATACCTAATCGCGGTTCACGCACTGAAACGCCGAAATTTTACACACTATGTCACAACTGAATTCATCTCACCGTGGTTGCAGAGAATGATCTAGACCTAATACGACCGTGTTTTCTTAATTATGGGTTGGAAGATTCGGTTGGTGCAGGACGGTGGCGTTTTTGAACATCTACTGTAACGACAAACACGGTGCATATCTGAACCGAAAGATAATTTACTGGTTACTTTTAGAGCCTTAGAAAAATAATCAATCTTTTGAAGACCAACGTAATCTGATTGACGATATTGTGATCAATAATAATAATAATAATAATAATAATAATAATAGTAGTAGTATGTAACTACTTGCTTAAAGACAATCAGAAGGGAGAACTGGCGCACGTTTAGCTTCGCCAATGCAAAGTAAGTTTAAAGTGCACTGTATTCGCTCACTGTGGACGGAATCTTCGGTGAAAAACGTTATCACGTTAGCTTTGTCGTACATAAAAAGTAAAGGTGGCTGATTGATGCGATATTCTGTAAAAAGACGTTGACGACAAAATAGAGAACGCGAAACGGAACAATAAACTGCAGCACGAATTGAACTAGTTCTTGTTTCAGTTCATTTGAAAGTCAATATCTGCAAACCAGTCAGCAAGAAAGACAAGGTACGACGGATTTGTGAAAAGTTGTACTGCGAAGATGTATCAATGTTTAAATTTATTGCGGGCGATAGGAATGGAGATAAACCGAAAAAGGATCCGGTTCAGAGGATGTAATGCATCAGGATTGAGCTTCATGCTTTACGGTGCTGTTTGACCATGGAGTAGTTGGCCAGTGGCACATGAAGGACAGTTCTATATGTGGGGTTCTTTACGAAGAAAATCGAAAGTAATATGAAATCCATAAACAACAGGTTTGGAAATATAACAGAAGGATAGCCTTCATAATGGAAGGCCTGAAACATAAAATTTCAGTTTTCTCATTTTAAGAAATTCTTGGTTTATGAATAATTTCCAGGCGGGACGAAAACACACTACTACCCTAAGGTGGGTACATATTGCCTTTTTTCATTTTTACTTCCTTTTATGGAATGCACAATGATATCATTTTCAGGAAGTGGGAAGTGGTCAATCAAAGAAAGGGCTGCCACACAACGCACAAGTGGGGAAAGTCAGGTTGCGGTGGTGGTGGGATTCGAACACTCGTCCTCCGAGGGTGATAATTTGGTGACCATCAGGCCACCACCAGTGCAAAGCACCATCAAAGCATTCGTTTATGAGAAAGTGTAAGCAATCGAAAAATATCTTTTGCATATACTGAAGTAATGAAAAGTGAGCCAAAGGAAAATTTCAGAGCATTTCTTGGAACCACGACTGCGTAGTAGTACGTGCTTGAATGCTGAACGTGATATCGTCATCTGCTTGATGAATGGAAGTATGAATTAACCGGGTACCAAGCACTATTCTCATCTAAAGAGCGTTCTATTTGAAACAAAATGAACTCCAAGTTTTCTCGAGCACCGGGTGTATGTCTTGTTTGATACCAGGGTTCGGATTTATCTCGGAGTTACAGAGCTTCTCGTTTTAATTCAACCTGGCTTCAGAGGGTCCCGACAATAGAGTACCAGTAATGACAAATGCACATTGAGTCACGGATACACACCCCCTGTAAGTCAATGCACATGGCATAGTGCTTGGATTCGATTACCGGTGTCTAATTTGGCAACCAAAATAACGTCTTCGATAAACCCGGTGACAAAGAAGGAATGCGGGTTCTGTGATTTGGTTGAGGAGGAGCAGGAAAAGCACACATTTTGTCATAATGCTTTGTAATCACTACTACACTTTGCAGAAGCATAATTGACAGGGGAACGGTATTGTCAGGAGAGAGAGAAAGCATTTTCACGTGAATATATAAACACAAAGTTTACTTCATAAACCTCCGGGTAGCTTCAGATTTCATTGAAATAAGTTGTATTTAAATCTTTTTCAGAGGTTCAATTTTTTAAAGACCAATAGCTTGTGATGCAGTGGGAATCAGAAATGGCGATAATGCAACGAAAGTGAGTGACATTTGGAGAAGCTGCAGATGTCAGTTCGTTGCCATTGTCGTTGTAAACAGAACGGAGTTGTCTATCGGGAATTACAGTGAAAAATCTACTTTCCGCCAAAACCAAATGATTTC